CTCAGATGATGGAAAGTATGTTCCCGACGTTTCAACATTTTCGTAGGCTTTCGACATTTCGGGGGGATTCCCGAGTCTCGGACATTCCCGGGGAGGGTGTCCCGAAGGAGGGGATGGGGGGAAGAGGGAGGAGTGATGGAAAAGGGGGGAGGGAGAAGGGAGACGATGGAAAAAGCTGGAAGGCTTTCACAGCGAGAGGATGGAGGGGGAAGGAGGGAGAGTTTTACAGGGCTCAGGAGCGTTCTGACGATGTTGGGGAGACTCTGAAATGTTCTTGAAAGCTCTAGGGGTCTCTGTCAAGGAAGGAGACTGCAGAGCAAAAGGAAACTTGGGGGGGCTACGGGCAAGAAAGGAAGGGGAGGGAGGGACGAAATGAAGGGTTCCCAGATTATCCCATCCATCTGGCGAAGGGCAGCGAAATCTGGCGCGGGCCCCGCAAGTTGGGACGGCCAAGCGATGCAAGTCATTTGCTCAAGAATCGCTGACTGCGCGTAGGGCGCGTCACGAAACGAGGGAACGCGCTTCGTGGACGCTGGCTTGGAAAAAAATCCCTTGACACGTCGGAACCAAGTTGGGGGGGAAGGCAAAGACTTGGCGTTCCTGGAGAACCAGGGGGGGCCCTCTGGACACCGGCCTCGCTGACCAAGGGGGGAGGGGCCAGGGGTGAGGGGCTCGAACCAGGAGGGCGCCCCCCCCACAGTCCAAAGGGGAGTGGGGTTCGAACCAGAAGGGGGGGGGCAAGGGGGAAGGGGGGGAAGGGGGGGGTGCCGAATCGCCCAACCCCCCTCCCCCTGATAGATTCCTACGAAGGCTCGAACCAGCTCTAATAGAATCTGGCTATAGCTGGATCCTCCTTTTTATTTCACCCTAGTCGGGCTCGATCCGACTCTGATAGAATCGCTCTACAGATGAATCCAGCCCTACTTGAATCTTACTGAAGCTCGATCCGACTCTAGTAGAGTCCAAATATAGCTGAACGCAACTTGAAAAACATGCTCGTCACGCTTAATCCTACTCGAGAATCCCACTATCGGTGGATCGAGCCCTAATTGAATCCTACTAAGGCTCGATCCTATCATGATAGAGCTCCCCTTATGGCAAGATCCAACCCTAATTGAATCCTACTAGGGCTCGATACAGGTCGAAAAGAATCTTACTAAGAGCTCCACTCAACCTTCATAGCAGCCTACTAAAATCGGTCGTCATCGTCGTGGTCGTCGTCATCGTCGTTGACGTCGTCTTCGTGAAGACGTCGTCGTCGTGGTCGTCGTCGTCGTAGTCGTCGTCTTCATCGTCGGCGTCGTCATCGTCGTCGCCGTCGTCGTCGTTGTCGGCGTCATCATCTTCGTTGCCGCCGTCGTTTGCCATGAAAAGCGTGGGGAGCCAGTTGGAGCCCTCCTTGCAGCTCTCCAGGGGAGAGGCGGGGGGGGGCCGCCAGTTCGGACAACCCATCCTTGGGAGGGGCCCCCCCGGTTCGAACTCCCCCTCTCCTTGCAACTGGGGGGGAGGGCGGTTCGAACCCCCCACCTCTTGCCAGCGTCCACAGCACGCGCTCTTTCCAAGAGGCGTTGCCACCTCCCCTCGCCCACCCGCTCGCCCTACCCCACCCCGGTCCAGCCACAAGGTGGTCCCGACCCCTTGCCCAGCCAGCCACCCACCCAGCCACCCCCCCCCGCCCACCCGCCCAGCTCGTTTCCCCCCTCACCCGCCCACATTTTTGATCCGTCGAGGCTAAGCGGGCCACGCACAGCTTGAATCAAAGGGAGGGGGGCAGAAGGAGGGGCCTCACACCAAGGCCTGGAGGGGGCAACAACACCCGCCCACTCACTCAGTCCTCATCCGTGCCGTTCGTCGCCTCCGCCAGCGTTCTCCGGCGTCGACGGCGGCAGCATCAGTGACGGCGGCGGCGGCGAGGGGGCGGCGGGAGGTGCGGCGCCTGGCGTGGGCCAGTCTGGGGGCTGGGCAGGGCAGCTCCGCGCCCTGGGGCGGCGGGGGGGGGGGCAGATGACTGACTGGTCAGGCAGCTCATCCTCCCCCTCATCGTTCGCCTCCTCCTCCTCCTCCTCCTCCTCCTCCTCCTCCTCCTCCTCCTCCTCCTCCTCATGCTCCTCAGCCTCAGCCCCCTCCTTCTCCTCCTCCTCCTCCTCCTGCTCCTCCTCCCCCTCCTCCTCCTCCTCCTCCTCCTCCTCCTCTCGTACTCCTCTCCTCCTCCTCCTCCTCCTCCTCCCCTCGCCCCTCCTCCCCCTCCCTCCCCTCCTCCCCCGCCTCCCCCTGCCTCCTCCTCCTCCTCCTCCTCCTCCTCCTCCTCTCCTCCTCCTCCCTCCTCCTCCCTCCTCCTCCTCCTCCTCCTCCTCCTCCTCCTCCTCCTCCCCTCTCATCCTCCTCCTCCCCTCCTCCTCCTTCTCCTTCCCCCTCCCCCTTCTCCTCCTCCTCCTCCTCCTCCTCCTCCTCTCTCTCCCCTCCGCCTCCACCTCCTCCACCTCCACCTACACCTCCTCCACCTCATCATCATCAGCATCATCATCATCAGCATCAGCATCATCATCACATCATCATCATCAATCACAGCATCATCATCATCATCATAGCATCATCATCATTCCATCAGCATCATCATCCCATTCATCATCATCCTCATCATCAGCATCATCATCATCAAAATGATCCCTCATCATTCAACAGATCATCAGCATCATCATAATCATCCTCATCATCATCATCATCATCATCATCATCCTCATCATAATCATCATAATCATCATCATAATCACATCATCATCTATCATCATCAGCAGCATCATCATCATCAGCTAGCATCATCATCAGCATCATCATCAGCAGCAGCAGCATAATCATCAGCAGCAGCAGCATCATCATAATCATCATCAGCAGCAGCAGCATCGTCATTATCAGCAGCATCAGCAGCATCATCATCAGCAGCATGGTGAGCATCAGCAGCAGCATCATCATCAGCAGCAGCATCATCCCACCATCACCACCACCATCACCATCACCATCACCATCACCATCATCATCAGCAGCATCATCATTGTCATCAGCAGCAGCATAATCATCAGAATCATCATCAGCAGCATCATCATTATCAGCAGCATCAGCAGCATCATCATCAGCAGCATCATCAGCATGAGCAGCAGCATCAGCAGCAGCATCATCATCATCATCATCAGTAGCAGCATCATCCCACCATCACCACCACCATCACCATCACCATCATCCCCATCATCACCATCACCATCACCATCACCATCACCATCACCATCATCATCATCATCATCATCATCATCATCATCATCATCATCGTCATCATCATCATAATCATCATCATCATCATCATCATCATCATCGTCATCAGCATCGTCATCATCGTCAGCATCAGCATCAGCATAATCAGCATAATCTACCTCAGCAGCATCAGCATCAGCATCAGCATCATCATCGTCATCATAATCATCATAAGCATCATCATCAGCATCAGCATCAGCATCAGCACAATCATCATCATCATCATCATCATCATCATCATCATCATCACATCATCATCATCATCATCATCATCATCATCATCATCATCATCATCCTCATCAGCATCATCATCATCATCGCCAGCATCAGCATCAGCATCAGCATCATCAGCCTCAGCAGCATCAGCATCAGCATCAGCATCAGCATCACCATCGTAATCATAATCATCATAAGCATCATCACCATCAGCATCATCATCAGCAGCATCATCCTCATCATCATCGTCGTCGTCATCATCGTCATGATCAGCATCGTCATAATCATCAGCAGCATCGTAATCAGCAGCAGCAGCATTCTCATCAGCATCAGCATCATCATCGTCAGTAACATCATCTGAATCGTCATCATCAGCATCATCACCGTCGCCATCATCATCAGCATCAGCAGTAGCAGCATCATCATCATCATCATAATCATCATCGTCGTCGTCGGTATCATCATCATCAGCAGCAGCATCATCATCCTCATCATCATCACTATCAGCCCCTCCTCATCATCCCGCATCCTTTCTCCTCGTCCTCCCTCCTCCTCCTCTTCCTCCTCATCATCATCATTAGCATCATCATCATCCTCCTCCGCCCCCACCTCCTCTTCCTCATCTTCCTCTTTCTGACCATTATGCTCCCCATCCTCCTCCTCCTCTTCGACCTCCTCCTTCTTTCAAGACTGAAGCAAGTTTATCACACAACCTAAACCTAGCGAACAAGGACAAACCATCGCACAATACCCTGGTAGAACAAGAGTTCCGACAAAGAATAAAATTGAAATTGACGGGACCTAAACGGGGGTGTGTATCCTCCTCCCCCTCCGCCCGCTACCCAGAACATGTCCTGAGGATCCCGCAACAACTGAGGTCAGCCGTCCTACTCCTGGTCCTGGGGATTGGGCACCTGAGGGGGACGAGAGGGAGGGGAGAAGGCGAGGGCTGAGACGAGGGGTGCACGGGGGAAGGGAGGCCAGAACCTCAGGACCGAACCAGTGGACGACTCCGCTCCGAAGGGCGTGGTCTGCAAGGGGTGTGGTTTGCAACCGGCGCCCCGGGTGGCACCCTGGGGGGCCCGCGGGGACCTCGACAGAGCTCTCCGCCGCGCCCCGAGGAGGCCCAGCGAGGACAGTGTCGTGCTCCCCAGGCCCCAGCAGGGCCGATCGCAAACCACACCCCAGCGTAACCATACCCTTTGTGGTCGCCGAACCAGGGACCAGTCCCCGCAGGAGCTTCAACCGCTGGCTGGACTGCCCTGGCCCAGCGCAGGCGTGGGGCAGGTCCGTGGCCCTGCGCGTGGCGAGCTTGCCGCATTGGCCGCAGAGAGCGATCGGCATGCCGCTGCTGAGAATCCTGGCTGTCTGAAGCTTGTGGCCAATCCCTCCACCTGTGTCCACGATAGGGGCCACATGCGAACCCTACCCCTACCCCCACCATTTCGGAGGGGTAGGGTGGGGTTCACTTCGCTCGGGAGCTCTCTCGAACGAAGCGAACCCCACCCTCCCCCTCAGAAATCGTGGGGGGTGGGGGTAGGGGTCGCATGTGGCCCCCGACACAAGCACCTGGACGGTGGGGGCCAGCGCAGCGCACGGCACGCACTGGAATCAGATCAGACTCGTAAACAAAACTGGAAGGGAAACGGGGTCCCATCCGAGACAGGCGTCTGCTTACTGGGGGGGCGTTGTCGGAGCGTTCGGCCGCTCGTGATGCGGCAGCTTGCCGTAGAGATCCTCTGGCGGTGAACCACACAGTTGCAGCTCCGAGCGCGAAGGTGTCGCAGACCTTGAAAGCTCAGTCATAGATTTCAACAAAGTTTCGGAAAGATCCTGGGATCTGTTTTTTGTTTTTTGTCTGTATTCTTGGAAGGTGTCATCGAAAATCCAAAGTTCCAACGAGCAGCCGAGACTAGCGCATAAGCAAAGCTATTTTCTTTTGCCAAGTCCAGCAAACTGGTCCGAGAGTTCCTTGAGATACGGTTCCCGTCGAGGTCTTATTCTACGAGCTGCAATCAGAAAGACAACGCATTCGAAGCAGAACTCAGAAAGAAGAACATTAGAAAGCATAAAAAATTCGTCGCCGACGGCTCCTCTTGGCCTTCCTCCTCCTCCTCCTCCTCCTCCTCATCCACATCCTCATCCTCATCCTCATCCTCATCATCATCACCATCATCATCATCATCATCATCATCATCATCATCATCATCATCATAATCATCATCATCATCATCAACATCATCATCATCATCAGCATCAGCATCATCATCATCATCATCACCACCACCACCACCACCACCACCACCACCATCATCATCATCATCATCATCATCATCATCATCATCATCATCAGCATCAGCATCATCATCATCAGCATCAGCATCATCATCATCATCATCATCATCATCATCATCATCCTGCTTTTCCTCCTACTCGCCGACCTCTTCCAGCCAGACACCAAGTCTCTCGAATGCAACGGGGATAGCGACAACGAAGACGACCACAGCGGCCAAGGAGACGACGACGACGACGACGACGACGACGACGACGACGACGACGACGACGACGGCGACATCGACGACATCGACGATATTGACGATGACGACGACGACGACGACGACGACGACGACGACGACGACGACGACGACTACGACGACAGCAACGACGAAGGCGGCCAGGGCGAGCGACGGCGGCAGGCGACGACGACGACGGCCAGGGAGAAGCCGTTCGACTGTGACGACGACGACGACGACGACGACGACGACGACAACGACAACGACAACGACAACGACGAGATCGACAGCGGCGGCCAAGGCGAAGCCGGGGCGCGCCTGCACGCGGCGACAAACCGCTGCGAGTTGGAGAGCCGCGCCCCGGCGAGGCTGGCTGGGAGAACAGGATATCCTCCTGCGGCGCGGCGTGGGACCTCGTCGTCGTGGTACGCCTCGCCTTTCCTGCTCTTCCTCCCCTGCCCCCCGTGCCGACCTTCCGATCCACTTCTCCTCCCTCGTCATCCTCCTCATCCTCCGCCTGCTTCTCCTCTTCCTCCTCCTCCTCCTCCTGCTCCTCCTCCTCCTCCTCCTACTCCTACTCCTACTCGTCCTCCCCCATCATCATCATCATCATCATCATCATCATCATCATCATCATCATCATCATCATCATCATCATCATCATCATCATCATCATCATCATCATCATCATCATCATCATCATCATCGTTGTCGTCATCGTCATCATCATCACCCATTATCATCATCATCACCACCATCACCACCACCATCATCATCATCAGCAGCAGCAGCATCAGCATCAGCATCAGCATCAGCATCAGCATCAGCATCAGCATCAGCATCATCATCATCATCATCATCATCATCATCATCATCATCATCATCATCTTCTTATTATTTTGCTGCTTCATGATCATCAGCATCGTCATAGTCATCATCATCAGCATCATCAGCATTACCACCATAATCAGCATCATCAGCATCAGCATCAGCATCAGCATCGGCATCATCATCATCAGCATCCACATCACCGTCAGCATAATCATCATCATCCTCATCGTCATCATCATCGTCATCATCATCATGATCAGCATGATCATCAGCATCATCAACAAGAACATCACAATCAGCATCAGCATCACTATCCTCATCATCATCATCATCATCATCCTCATCATCAGCATCATCATAATCATACACCGTCTTCATCACCATCAGCAGCAGTATCAGCATCATAATCATCAGCATCAGAATCATGATCATCATCATCATCATCCTTATCATCCTCATCCTCAGCATCATCATCATGATAATGATCAGCGTCATCAACAACATCATAATCAGCATCATCATCACCATCCTCATTCTCGTCCTCACTATCATCATCAGCACCATCAGCATCAGCATCAGCATCAGCATCAGCATCATCATCATCATCATCATCATCATCATCATCATCATCATCTCA